CTACACTCTGTCGGGAGACAATATGTTAACTTGCTTGGATACCCTCGATCGTTCAGGGACCCTCCACACTGGGTCTTGATGCTTGTTGTTTGAATGAAGGGCCCTACTCTCTTGTCGGGGCCCTATCTGATAATCTGCTCGGGCACACGGAATGGAGGACCTTACGCTCCTGTTGGGGTCTTATCTGCTAATCCGATCTGTTAAACTCGATCGTTCGGGGGCCCTCTACATTATGTCGTGGGCATCTCTCATTTGAATGGAGGGGTCTGTGCTCTTGTCAGGGGTCTCATTTATTAACCTACTTGGTCACACTCGATCGTTCGGGGCCCTCCACACTGTGTCTTGGATAATTCCTATTTGAATGAAGGGTCACTACGCAATGGTCGGGGTCCCATCTGTTTACCTCCTCGAGCACACCGGATGTTATGGGGCCCTGCACATTGGGTGTTGATATTTGAATGCGTACGTTCTTCGTTCCTGTCACGGGCCATCTGATGACTCCGTAGTCTGGGTGAACGGGATAATGTCCATGAGTTGTTAACTTTTTTAGATATAACATTCCCGCTCGTTTGCCTTTAAAGTTGAAACTAAATCTCGACATGACATTCTGTTAGTTTAATTAGAACACTTCTGAGCTAGTAGCGTTTGCGTGTTCTCTGTCTTTCGACGTTGAATTGAATCTCAAAGGCTCAGCAAAACTGGCGGTTCGCTACAGATTCCACTAATATTTGGACTGGTTCTTTGTTATTGGATGGTTGCGATGTCTGTGTGTCGGTTAACATTTTTAATCATACTCCATCCCTTTTTACCCTAACAACACCTGGAAGGCCGAAGCCGACCCTTTGTTCCTGATTCAAGCTATATTTGACAGGTTATTTTATATGGTGACGGTACGATCCTTTGAGTTTATTGCATCTTGAGTCAGAGCGCTCCTTATCGTTTGACCAAAAATAACACCGTCAATGGCGAGCAAAATTCGCTGGTTGTTCCAAAGTCCAAAACAAAGAGGGTTTCCAAGGCTTCCCGATTCAAGACGCATTTCGATATGACCTAGGTTATGGTATCATTTCGAGGATTCGAAGCTGGTAAGTTTTCATAATAGCGTCCTCCTGCGTTTGGCCTTGGAGGTCCACTTAAATTGGCAACTTAATCCAGACACATGCTACAATAGGCACAAACTGCTGGCACTATTTCAATATTTCGCAATGATTAGTTTTTTTCTTATAGCGTTCTCCTTCACTGCAACATGAATTTCTCCTTGAAAGTCGAGGTACGTTAATAGTTTATATTCTAGATTTATTTAGGTGTTGGCTGGCCAAAAACAGCGTTTCCAGTTTATAAAACTTGTCTCTAATTATGACTTAAGAGCTTTGCTTTCTGTCGTTACTCATCACGACGTAATTTGGAATGTTCACTTGATCTCTGGCGATCCAACGACCAGAGCGATTGAAAAATTGGCTTCAGAATCCTGACGTCCGAGGCCAAAATAAACTATTAGACCATTTGCACTCAAATGTAAGATGGCCTCAACGTAAATGGCAAAATACGTCACCAACTTCAAGAGCATAAACCCAGCCCCATTCCTTGCGTTTCCTGCGTCGGTCTGTGCCACTCACCGGGTCGATTGGTGATCTGGTTCAGCTGGAGACCCTGCAGGTCCACTATGACCCGCTGCGACCGACAAAACGCCCGAGGCGGCAGCTCTGCTCCGTCGCAGTCTGCCCGCAGTCTGAATTCTCCAGAACCTGCAGACTGTCATTCAACCGTGGCAGCAAGTACATCGCTGATGTGAGCAGTAGAATCCAGTAGAGACCATATTTAAACCGCAATGCGATCTATTTTTTTGCGAGCGAGGTGTCAAGACATATTTCCAGGTGGCACAAGTTCACCAAAAAGGTGTGCATCATGTGGGTAGTACCTGTATTAGCATACATGGTTATCAAACGTTCCGACCAGTCCGTTTGCAACAGAAGTTTTATTTGAGTACCAAGCATTTCAGTCTCTTTCGTTCTGAAACAGACACTTATTTTGCAGAGCTTCTATTGTTAGAATGGGCGCAGCTGGCGGCAATCCGTGTTAACTTGTCTTTGCCTATTTCATCGCTTTTGAACGCATTCTAAAGCTGTATTTCGCAGCTTAGAAACCGATATGCTGCCTTAGGATTCTGCGAACTACGCAAAAACGGAAAGCAACACTGTCCTAGCCCACGCGTAAAAACCCATGCGATTATTTAATGGAAGTTCTGACGTACGGCAGTTTCCAACGCAACTCATCGATCGCGACACAGATTAGTAAGCTCCCAGGTTTCTGCGACTTGTTCCTGAGACGTTTTTTTCTGACGGAATGCTTGTTCCAGCTTCTATTTGCTGCAGTGGCGACAATGTGTCTCGGCGCGCGCTCGTCCGCCGCGGCGGCTCGGTTGGTCAGAGCGCACGCGCTCCGATTCATCCACCCGTGGTGGGGTGTGTTCGAGTCACTTTAGGTGCTCATTGCTTCTTCCTGACTGAGGTAACCTGTTGCCAACAGTAGCGGCCACGCTAAAGGTTCGGTGACGTCAAAGGGCAGGGCGGACTGTGCTGGGAATGGCGCCACGTTAAGCTTCGCAGTTAAACTCAGCTCTTGATTCGTAAATTTACGATCAGGTGGTGTGGTCAGGGCGTGTGCAACAAGGAACGCTTTGTGTGGACACTGATCCCAGAAACACGTCCAGTAAGAAGTGGCACAGGACAAACGATTGCTTTTCTCGTTTTCAGCCAACTGCCCTAGGGGCATTGCCTATTACAATGTATTCGACGGCGACGCGTAGTGAGCACGGGCTGCTCGCTGCGGCCTGAGAGCGGAACGGTACACATGGCGTGCTCACCCGAACTGAGAGCGGGACGATACACATGGCGTGCTCACCCGAACTGAGAGCGGGACGGTACACATGGCGTGCTCACCCGAACTGAGAGCAGGACGGTACACATGGCGTGCTCACCCGGACTGAGAGCGGGACGATACACATGGCGTGCTCACCCGAACTGAGAGCGGAACCGTACACATGGCGTGCTCACCCGAACTGAGAGCAGGACGGTACACATGGCGTGCTCACCCGAACTGAGAGCGGGACGATACACATGGCGTGTTCACCCGAACTGAGAGCGGTACGGTACACATGGAGTGCTCACCCGAACTGAGAGCGGGACGATACACATGGCGTGTTCGCCCGAACTGAGAGCGGGACGGTACACATGGCGTGCTCACCCGAACTGAGAGCGGGACGGTACACATGGCGTGCTCACCCGAACTGAGATCGGGACGGTACACATGGCGTGCTCACCCGAACTGAGAGCGGGACGACACACATGGCGTGATCACCCGAACTGAGAGCGGGACGGTACACATGGCGTGCTCACCCGAACTGAGAGCGGGACGACACACACGGCGTGTTCTCCCGAACTGTGAGCGGGACGATACACATGGCGTGCTCACCCGAACTGAGAGCGGGACGGTACACATGGCGTGCTCACCCGAACTGAGAGCGGGACGGTACACATGGCGTGCTCACCCGAACTGAGAGCGGGGCGGTACACATGGTGCACTCACCCGAACTGTGAGCGGGACGATACACATGGCGTGTTCACCCAAACTGAGAGCGGGACGGTACACACGGCGTGCTCACCCGAACTGAGAGCGGGACGGTACACATGGAGTGTTCACCCGAACTGAGAGCGGGACGGTACACACGGCGTGCTCACCCGAACTGAGAGCGGGACGGTACACATGGCGTGCTCACTCGAACTGAGAGCGGGACGGTGCGTATGGCGTGCTCACCCGATCTGAGAGCGAGACGGTGCATATGGGGTGCTCACCCGAACTGAGAGTGGGACGGTACAAATGGCGCGCTCACTCGAACTGAGAGCGGGACGGAACACACGGCGCGCTCACCCGAACTGGACGAGGTCGACCCGGCTCGCGCACTGCATCAGGCCTCTCATGTCTAGGCCACCCATGTTGAAGATGTAAACTGCGGGCGGAAAAATTTACACATCTGTATTTGTGTCTTTCTTGCAGGTAAGCAAGGCATGCAGGAAGTGCCTTTTCTGGCGGTATGGTTCGACGGCGAGAAGAAGCCCTTTTGCGAGCAGGCTTGGCTGCACTGCTGCTCGCTGCTCAGTCGTTGAAGTTGGCTCGGTGATCACGTAATCGCATTCCCACAAAGGTAAGTGCCCTTACGCTCTTATGCTCACTAATGCACACACATTACCACGCCACACCCGTGGCTATGAGTGGAGACCATCCATTCCATCAAGGTAATGTGCCTAAACACTCTGTTATAATTTGAGCTTCATAGCTCTTGGCTTAAAATCTCTCATGGTAATACGTTGGAGAAAAATCCAAAATTACTCACAAATTCCACGACTCTCTTTCACGTGATTTAGTGGTGAAGCAGAAATGCGCGGAGGAAAGCTGTCCATATGCACGCATGCAAATCATGCAAGAACACATATTTGCAAGAATCGCTCCCGTAAGCAGGTTCCACGATTCTGTTAGGCGCGTGGCAGTGCCGTTACGCCGGTTAGGCCACCCAATGAGCGAACCTCTGTGGCCGCCCCGATCGACGCCGCAGCTGCCGTGGGGGAAGAACCTGCGGATCACCTCCGGAGCAGCCCAGTCGCGCGTGTCGTTGACACGATGACGCCGCCTCCACTCCATGGACTGCCGACAAGGTGTTCGCAGCCGTATGTCGTATCATTGGAAAGTGAAGTACGGAGACTAATGACGTTCGTAGATAACTACAGCTTTATTGTTATACGGACATCACGATTTGCGGCGCGGATTAGAGCCTGGAGCTGCATGCGTGCATAACTGGACGAGTGCCAG